CGCCCTTTAACATCTGCTGTAATTTAGCATTGGCTATATCCCTAGTGCCCCAGCAAAGTCTGCTTGATGGTTGTTTAATTGGACATGTATCACCTGTATCTATGTGACATTGTGTAACTATTATTTGACCCAGTTGATCATCTGATCACACAAACAGATCAGCATATTCCACCAAAACGTCATTAAGTTGCTTCTACTTCTGCATTAAGTTATTGTTTGCACAGTTCACAACAAGCTATTTCAGATGGGTTGGTAACCATGTATTCACTTTCCAAAACAATGCAATTGACGCAATCCTAAGGTTACCACCAGCATCAGTTACTTTCACTTACTGTGCTGATGACCATTTCAGAATACAGAATACAGAATGACTGATCCTCTATAAATTGCAGAAAAACACCAGAACTTCACCCCACCACTCTAACAAACAAATGCCCAAGCTAATGCTGTTCACTTTCTGGACATGAAACAACTTATTTCATACATAGGTTCTAAAAACATGTTAAACAGCACTTATGCACTATGGACATCATATATATATTAAATCATGGCACACCACTTGTGCACATAGGGTGCTATGTCTTCCTCGTCCAAATACACCCATAGAGTTTATTGTCCTTGTGTATAAGAACCTAGGTTGGTGACAGTTACTTTCATTGTGTAAGAAGTGAAGCCCTTTAGACATAGTTGGAGCATGGCCTCTCCATGGTGATTAACCACCATGAAGTTTGTGTCTACTGGCCAGAGGGTGGTTTTGCTCAGAGTATCTGATATACCACGAGATTTGCCATTCCTGTATCAAACAGAAAATTTATCTCTGGCCCATGTACTCCAAGATGCACATACCAAGGCCCACACAGCCCTGAAAAAGCTGGATTTACAATAAAAAATTTTGTGCAAGTTGTTTGCTTCACTCTCCCGCATTAGTGGCCAGGCTTGATTTGGACTCCTCTAGTTTTCTGGAACTGTAGCAGCAATGTTCACTTCCAGTTGTTGGTTCTCCTGCATCTGCTACCCTGGTCAAAGCGAATAGCCTTATCTACCTTGTTGCTCAACAAGGTATGGACAGTTCACTTCAAAGTGATCCAATGTTCCACAGGCAAAGTGTGTGCTTTGCTGTTTCCTTCCAGGTAGAAGCATATGCCCCAGCATGTAAACAATGAGGATGCAAGTGTTGTTGTATTGCAATGCTTGGATACATGCATAGTTGATTAAGGTTTGGCTGGGCTTGAACCTAACATGGCATGGGTACCTGGAAAGGATGGCCTATCTAATATGAATTCATTACAAGAGTTTTCCTCCTTTGTGACAGATTTGAAGCTATCACTTTGAACCGCATCTTCACAGAAACTGCTTTCATAAGTACGAGAAGGTTTCTTACACCCAAAAGGTGCTAAGTATTTTCATTTGGTACCTCTTCCACAAACTTGTCTATAAGGATATCCTCACAGTCTGCTGATGCCATTGAAGAGTACGTTTTACCATGCAGCAGTCAAGCTTTCCATGGCACACCTCTTCTGAGTCCTGAACTTGGCTCAATGTATTGCTTTGTTTTCCATTGTGTCAGTATTTCAGTGAAACTAAGTAATGAATGTCTTGCAGTCCTTCAGTTGATACTTATTCAAGTGTTCTATAGAGTTTAGGGCTGGACCATCTAAACTAAGTGCCAGACATTACACAGCCTATTCTGTGGTTCAACCATTTGGAGTAATTATCTGCCATAAACACATTAAAAACTGGTGTAAGCCCTCCTTTGCTGCACCCTTGAATATCAATAGGGCTGACGTGCTTTGCTTCACTTATTGGGAATTGTGTTCATGGGCAGAACCTCTCTCTTATGACTTTCTGGCTATTAGTTGACCTAGATGTCTTCGACATCATGGACACATTATTTGTAGGCACTCTTAGGGAGAGGTAAATCCTTATTCCAGGCTAGCAGAATAACAAGTTGCCTTTGGTGGCTCATCCATTGACTCTATGCAACCCCAGGCTCCTCTGTAATCCATGGTTGTTTTGGCAGTATATCTCTTCTTTGGAGAGACTCACTAATGCTCCATGACTTACTTACTTCACAATTTAGTGCCTGCTGTCTCACCTCTTAGTGAGTAAGCTCCTCTTGACAGATACCTTTTACCAAGAACACATCCAGTATCTCCTCAGTATCCTTGGGTGGTTTCTACCTGAGCTGGGATTGTATTATTCTAGCTAGTGAAGATCTGGGAGCCTGATACAGACTGCCCCATCTGATCTCAGACTTGGCAGATGTCTCTCCATCGTAATGATCCTCAGTAATCTGAGCTTCCATGACACTGAGATTTATCCTCAGATGTAGTAAATGGGTACACTATAGATTATTTGATTATTCTTCCTTAATCGTTGAATGTAACGAGAGAGAAGTCATGGACGGGTGTGGCATTGGCAAAAGTAAAAAATCCAGGAGTGGACTTCTTCTAGACCCAACAACTTTCTCAGACAACAATTGGGTTTCAGTGAACATTTCTTCCTCTTTGTTGTAAATCATGCTAATTGTGGAAATGAAGTTTCTGTAACTATGAAGCTTCCTTAAACTTATATCACACAAGTATAGGAGTAACAGGCAAAACACATGTCAGCAGAAAACAGCAAACTCCACACTAAGATATCCTGTAGTCATGGCACCAATATTTCTACCCATTCTGTGATATATTCATGTTGAACTGAATTAACTTTAGAGTAGTGGGATAGGTTCAGTTAACAAAAGGCTGGGCAAGATATTTATAATGAAGTAGAACTGAATTTATGAGTAACTGAATCTGAGAAAGAAAGAGACTGGACACAAAGTAATGCTCAAAATGAAAAATGTATAATCAGCTCAGAACAAAGTAGGTGTACTTGCTGTTATTAAACACAGGATGGTTGTTTTTACTGGATTCTATATATTCAACTGATTAGGTCAAGATCATCTACCTGATTGTTTAAAGTTAACATTACTTACTTTGCAGGTGACATCATATTTACCAAACATTACTTGTGCTAATCAAGTGATAGGTCATTCTCATTCAAGCATAAGTGAGGCCATAACCTTGAAATACCACTTTCTCTGCCATTGGAAGACACTACTATCGACATGTTTGCACAAAGTGCAGTATTACAGCCATTCTCTCCCTGGGTAGAATATGTGTGACCTCAAAGAATGACAAGGAACAAAGACAGCAAGAATATTAATTTAACGACCATCTCAACCATGTGTTATGTGAAACATGCACATATAAAGAATAAATGATAAATTTTGAAAATTACTGTATCAAAATAGGGAGGTAGAAACGCATGGTATAGTTATATATGACACATTAAACATAGACAAAACATCATTAACATTTGAAATATTTTTCTTTTTGCTGTGAGATAGCGAATTATACTTTTATTTTGCATGACCATACCACGGTCAGTCATTTAAGTATTAGAAAAACCACATACAAAGTATCCATACATAGTTTGGGTCTGGTATGAGACAGTACATTAAACATTATGTGTTATCATGCCATGTTTCTCAAACCACATACTATGATCAAAAACAGCCAGCAGGATTTATGCAAAGTACTAGATTATTGGAAACTGGTGAGATAATATGAGTTATTAATGAATACTTGTGTAAATACGGTATTCCAAATACTCTTGTATCCGATAATGGACCCCAATTTCTGTCTCATTGGCTGGATGAAACTTGTAAAGCTATAGGAATTGAACATATCTTTACAACTCCATATCATTTTCAGTCTCATATTACAAATAGAGTAAATAGAAATATAATTACAATGATATTTGCTTATATTAAGAAAATTCGTCAAACTTGGGACAGTCATTTACCTGAATTTTTTCTTGCAATTAAAACTTGTATTCATGAGTCTAGAGGTTATACGCTAGGCAAACTTCATCTGAGATGAGAGTTTTCCTTCCTTGGGACGATTGCAAAATACCTAACAACACTTCAAACCATGGGTCGGCAAACAATTGAATTCCAAGACGTCATACAGAAAGCATGATACAATGTTGAAAAGTTTCAGAAGTAACAGCGGCAAACATACAACTGTAAGAGACACCTAGATACTTTTAAAGTAGGTGACCTACTATCATTATGGACACATCCACTATCTTCTGCAGTATATATATTTACTGAAAATCTGTTCAGAGGTGGAATGGACCTTTTGAAGTTACTCCATTAGTGTATGAATTAAGAGATCCTAGATCAGGTGGAGATATAGGACAGTTTCTTGTTTCTAATATGAAAAGATACATATATTTCTCTTGCGAAAATTCTCTGGACACCAGAGAAAATGGTAATTGTTCTAGGTAGTTGCGGCAAAACAGGAATGTTGACTACAGAAGACTTGATCTTCTCCGCACAAGACAAAATACTTCCCTTGTTGTGTCCATTTCTTATCTTTTAACGGATCTTGCAATTGATTTACCTATGTTTCCTGCTCAACCCACTCCAAGGACATTATGACCACATTGCAGAGTTGATTATTGGAGTTTAGATGGTCTTCGAACTGTTAATAATCTGGAAGTTCGTGAAGATCGAGCTCAAGATTCCAGAACATGAATTATTATTTTTCCATAAACGGTATCTGTACTTAAACTGTAAAGGATTTCTAGTGTTCGTATAAAAATGGAGATAAAGGTAGTCATACGAAAATTGGAATACCTTGTACGAAGTGATTTTTTGTAATGGAAAAGGAATGTGAGATGGCGAATTCTACTTTTATTTTGTTTATCGTTCATTTATTTTTCCTTCTATCAATTAGTTTAACCATAAATTTTTAGTTATATTAAAGCGCTAACCCACCTTCTAGCTAGAGCATGTTTGTATTATGAAACTCACACAAGCTTTCCTCTAACGGTGACGTACATATATTAATGTTGTGAAGGCTTACGTAAATTAGCTACTCATATGAGGTATGACCACGTGGCCTTATCGCGACAAGGTGTTCCTTCAAATCGAATCTAATCCCGGAAGCGGTATGCCAAGTAGCAGAGAGCGAGTTAGAAGTACTGCTGAGGAAGGGGTGAAGGTAGCGGACGAGCTTCGCCGGTTTGAGAATGGTTCGGCTGATTCCTACACCGTGAGTGAGTCGAATGGCGTGGATTTAGATAGGGACTGTTCAAGTAAGAGTAAGATCTGATTCTGGCTCTAGTGAAAAATCTATCGGACACAAAAAGACAACTCGGGACAGAAAACAAATAGCATTTCTTACTTTCCCAGACATCAGTATAGCTAAGGTAAATCCCATGCTCTTGAGTAGAGCCTTTAACGAAATAATTGGGCCTACTGAAAAGATTCAGTTACAAACGGATCGTGTTAAGGTAGTTTGTTCATACTCACAGTCGAGATTATTATGTCGAAATAAAAACATTTGTGGATACAAAATTCGTTCCCAAATTCAAGACGTTCTCCCACCTTCTGTTAGGGGCATCATTCACTGTGTCCATCTCGACATTATGAAAGAGGACTGTACAACCATATAGGGTGTTACGAAGGCAATGAGAATGACGCCCCTACAATAAAGTCTTAAAAGTTAAAGAACCTATAAGTTCCGTTATACTCCATTTTTCGACTACAACCCTACCTTGTCTTTTCCTGTCCGAGAATTTATCCTCCACCCGACGCGATGTTTTAAGTGCCAACGTTACGGTCATATTGCAAACGTGTGCCGCAGTAATGTTCGGTGTTCAAAGTGTGGCGAAAATCACAACATAAAGGACTGTAATAAGCAGACTCCAGTATGTTGTTTATGTGGGTGTGAACATTCGGCAGCATACAAGGGTTGTGAAAAATGTCATGAGGCAAAGGAGGTCCAGGCTGTCAAAACTAAGTTACGCCCAAGCAGATAAAATTGTTGCTAAGAAACGAAAACCAGTGGAAACACAACTTCTGCCTAAAGAACCACAGCAACCCCGATCTTCTGACGAACGTAACGATAACATTTCCCAAAAGGATAGTGCTTATAATAGCCCTCGTACGTCACCCTCGTTACTTTCGTAGCAAAAATAATTTCGATTGCTCAAGACGTCCTTTTGGCATAAGAAATGCAGAAAATCGAGGATATCTTTCATAACCAAATTGGCAAGTACCGTTTTTGGTTTTGATATTAATCCAGAATCAATTTATGAACTCTACCAAGTAAGTTCACCTACAAATAAACAATAGGTCCTTTACAAATATTACAGTGGAATGCTAGGGGCATTGAGGCTCATGCTCCATTCTTTATTCGTTACCTTGAAACTCACCGCATAAATTCCGATGTTATTTGTATTCAGGAATCGTTTATCAAACCCCATGTAAAATTCCGCATACACGATTATAAACCATTCGAAAAGATCGGGAACACTCGACAAAGGAATGTGTACTTACTCTTGTCAAGAATCACTTTCTCTTCACTGTCCTTACTTTCCCAGAAAGTACAGAAGCTGTTGGGGTCCAATGTGAGACTTCTATGGGCAGAGTAATGATATTTAATATTTATAATCCTGGTGTCGACATTGATCCTGCTGAGTATCGAGAGTTTTTTCTTCCAAACAGTATCATTTGTGGAGATTTTAATGCTCACAAACCTTTATGGGGTGGAACAAAATTAGACCGTCGAGGTCAGATTCTCGGAGATCTAGTTATGGAATCTGATAAAATGGTGTTAAATGACGGTCGTGGGACATGTATTGTTCGGGGTAATCTCTCTGCTCTGGATCTAACGATTGTAGATAGTAAACTTGCTAGTCTTGCTACCTGGGATGTTAAAGATTATGATCTGGGAAGTGATCATCTCCCGGTAATTACATCTGTTAAAGTCCCTTTTGAAGTTAAGAGTTCGACGACCTTCTGGAACTTTAGCAAAGCAAACTGGTTCAACTTCTGTACGTTCCTCGATTTATCCATTCAAAACATAGATATGTCTTCTTTAGTCGAATCTGTATATTCCCGTATAGTAAATATTATTTTGGAAGGAGCAGAGACATTTATCCCACAATCAACCACAGAACGTACCAAACATCAAACCCCTTGGAATATGGAATGTGAGAAAGACTAAAAGTTAAAAAAAAAAAAAAAAAAAAGGTAAGGAAAGGT